AAAACAGCGGAAAATGTACTAACTCGAGATGACACGAACAAATCACTTGCACTCGTCCATCTAGGCTTTCTCAATAATATCCTTAGGGCGTCATTGTAAGCTACTGACAGTTTCCGAAGACTGCCCTTTTTATAATTACACCACAGATGAGCAGTGTACAAGGAAGTACAATAAGCTTTAAACAAAGCCAGTTTTACTCCCACGGAGCATGCACCAAATTTCCGTGCCACATGAATACAGAGGAGTTTTTGCTTTTATATTTACTGACCAATTCTTTTAGGGCAAATATACACATGTCAGTGCCATGGCTAGTTTTAAACCCAAATTGGTTTAAAACCTATCTATGTCAGTGCATAGATTCTAGATGCAGGAAAACCACCGCATAACACAGATGAGCCTCCTCCATGTGTCACAGCAGAGATGGTGTCCTCTTCTTTGAAAGCTTCTTTTTTTTTTTTTTTTTTTAAACCTGTGAACACAGACTTGGCAAAAAACACCCATTTTATTTAATCTGTGCATAGGACATTCTCCCAGAAGCATTAGAGTTTGTCAACATACATTTTGACAAACTCCACTCAGTTTGTAGGGTTCTCTTTTTAAAGTGTGCTCTTCCTCGGTCTTCTTCCATCAGGTTACTGGTGACTGGGCACTGGTGTGCCCTGAGCTCAGGGCCCTCTGCTCTTTCCTACTTTTAAAACTGTGCTTCTGTTGAGTCTGGTAACCACATGCTACAGGGCTGACCCATGGACCTTAAATTTCTTAATATTAGAAACTGTGGTCACAGGAACATCAAGTGGCCTGGAGATGGTTTTGTAGCCTTTACATCCATTTATTTATCACCACTTCTGAGGTATACAAATATTGTTGTTCAGGCCATTTTAGAAGCTCTTCATAGAACAAGTATTCAGCTCTTTTCACAGCGTCTTTGTTTTTATGAACAAAAGGCTTCCTTTCAGGAAGAATGAGGCGTTGCTTCAGTGAGGTGCAAGGGTGACAACACTTTTTTTTACCCATGTATTTCAGAAGTGAATATTTTCTTTGTTCCTTTATATGCATTTTAAGTCAGATATTGTACTCACAGTGAAGTTCATCTGACAGCCGCCCATTATGTAATCCAGAAAAGTGTACTCCTTCACTATCTGCAAATAAATATTGATGACATGAAATTCTGTTACTATAAAAAAAAACCAGAAAAAAATCTTCTGTTCTCCTGTTAATTGTAAAAGATACAGCTAAATAAAAATACTGTACACCTCTGTTGGATAGAGGCAGTTTGAGAGAGAACATCTCTCTATCATCTATATGACTTCATATACTAAACTAGGAAAACACACTTCAGGAAAAATAAACAAACCCACAGTACCTTGCACTGTTTAATAATGATAACCCCAGAGTTTTTGTAGCTTTTCTTCTTCTCTTTCTTCTTGCTATTGATGCATTCAAACTCAGCCTGAGACCATACAAAGGAAGAAATTCATTCGTCACATACCACATATGTCCACCAAGGTTCAGACAAACCCTTTTTTGTATATCTCTGTGGACATTTCCATTAAAATCACAAAACTGATAAAGATCCAAAGCTCACCGCATACGCTTTTGAAGCCTCCAGTATTTGGCAAAGTGTGGTCTGAAAGGACCCGATCAACTCATGAGATCCACTGTTGTTGTAGTCATAACAATCTATCTGGGAAAGAGAGATATTTGAATTTAAGTGAGAAAAAAATCTAGTTATATTCAGATTATTATGTTGAAATGAAATATTAGTGGATTTTCAACCACAGGAACTCAATGAGCCATGACTTGGAGCTTCTCATACCCGTATTCAATGGGGTTTACAGACCACTGTATTGCTACTGACTGGCTTAGAACTTCCCCAATTTCAAATTATAAATATCAAACATGTTTGATATAAGTATGACTTGAAAATCTGTACCACCTCCTAAAGGGTGCCATATTTAGCTCCTCAAACCTGTCTCAAAAGCAGGTTGGGGCAGTGGGACCACAAGCTAAACCCGAGACAAAGGGTGCAAGTTCCGTTTTGGGTTGGTAAGTTCCTATAGAGAAAAAGGCCTAGATGAGACAAAGGCATGCTATGATGAAGCTCCACATGTGAGGATGACCCTGTTAGAGAAAAATGTAACAGAACCACACACACACACACACACACACACACACACACAGGTCTTCTAACTAGCAATGAGCAAAGTCCCTGACTGCCTCCTTCAGAGCAGGATACAGAGAGTACCTGTCCAGAATCTGCACACTGTAGCTTCAGTGACAAACACAATATGAAACCAACACAGATTAGATGAACTGTGTGATGCTATAGTTGGTCTATAAGATTGCTATAAACCAAGAATGTCATTAACAGGTAATGGGAAATTGACCCACTGACCAACTTACCTGTTGACAGTGGTGAAAAGTAATTTAGTACATTTACCAAAGTATTTAACAGATATAGCTACCTGTTACATTTCAAATTAAGATTTTATATTTAAAAAAATTGAAATGCTTATAAATACATGGTATTATTAAGACGTGTGGTTCATAACCTTAAGAAAAAAAAACTGAGTTCTGATGCCTGAAAGTTGTTCCACCCTATAAACTCTGCAGCTAGTTTGAAGTATTCAAGACCTATCGATGTCTACAACTTCAAGCTTCATAAAAAAAAAAGCAAAGATAGAAAATAGTGATGTCAATGATTTACTGAATATCAGATAACTGCAATTCATATTTAATTAAAAATATATTAACTAACAGAAGATAAAATGTGGTGAAATTACCAGAAAAAGTACTGTAGTTTGCTGTGGTACCTGGCTGTGTCACTTCAGCAGAAGTAGAGCAGCTGCTTGGTTAACGCAGGCCAGGAGAGCACGGCTGTAGCTGTGCTGCTCAGGTTCAGGACACACACACTACTCTAATTAAACACGTTTCTAGTACAAGACTGATGAAAAGCAACTTTGCCCTGATGTGGGTACAGATGCACTGAGTACATTTTAACTTTACTTCACTAAAACATCCAAATATTCCTTCTTCCTTTGATAATGTATAAAAATGTGTTACAGATGCTAAAACAATCAATAGATTGTTAAAGAAATACTAGATCTTGCTGCTTATCTCAGAATCTTTAATTTAGCTTTCTTTCAGTTCTTGTTTTGCCAGTGGCCCACTGTCTCCTCAAGTAGTTAACACAAAGCACTGCAAGTCAGTGATCAACCAGGAACACACACTGATTTCAGTGGTCACACATCTCAGGTAAGTTGACCAGTGAACCAACCAACCAATGACCGTGTGTATTCTTTGACTTTGACCTGTCCTCTCTCAGACACTGCATCCTTCACATGGAGAACACTCACGGTGTTGACAGTACACTTACTTACACTGATGACTGGGAACTCTCTCCCTGATAAGTGTGCTTTAACAGAATCAGAGGAAGAGAACAAAAAACAACATAGATAAACTAATGCTAACACAAACTTCCTTATTTGTACCAAGACCATTAGGTCACACACATTCAACTGTGGTTTTCACCTTTGGCCTTTACATGCTGAGATTTCCTCGGATTCCCTGAATCTTTTCATAATATTATGTACTGTAGATGGTGAAAGACCTAAATTGTTTGCCATCTTACACTGAGAAACATTCTTTCTTAACTGATTGGCAACTGGCACAAAGTGATGAGCCATGGCCCATCTTTGATCGCAAAGTCTGAGCCTTTTACCAGTTAACCTGCTAATTTTGAGATCTTCCAGAACAGTTACTGGACTATTCTATAAACTTTTCAGTCTTGTTTAGCCTCTGTCCCAACTTTTTTTAAATGTGTGTTGCGGGCATCATATTATACATTTGTTTACATTTACAAAATGCAATTACGTTGATCAATAAAACCACTGAAACCATTTTCTTTGTACTTTTGACAGTTAAATGTTCAAGCGAATTAACAAATCACAGATTTTAGTTTTTATTGCATTTTGGAAAATGTCCCAACTTTTCTAGAAATGGGGTTTATATGAAACAAGCTGTAAAATACTACTGATTTATACAGTATTTTGGAATTATCCCATCTGTTACTGAATAAGAAGCTGACATTACATAATTTACTTTCTGATGTCCCAGTTACAGCTGAAATGATTAGTCAATTTAGCAATTAGTTGATTCATTTACTTACATTTTCAACCATTCTGGTACCTGTGCTTATTTAAAGCAAAAATGCCAATAATTCACTGGTCCCATCCTTTCAAATGTGAATTCTTGCTGGCCTTCTTTGTCTTTTATCATACTTAATATTCTGGGGGAATTTACAGATAGGTAGCACTACAAAAGCCAAGATGAGGCAGGAGGGATTTTATACATCTGCAGCTTTATGAGGGTGGAAAATGAGCAAAAAACTACAGAGTGGACAGTGCTTTTAAATCCTATGATACCCAAAGAGCAACCCCGTATATAAGGAAATGCAGGAGTACACAAGTATTTTCTACTGTCTTCTTGTCGCGTGTATGTACCTTTATAGATTTCTCCACATCCCCAACACAAAGCGACTGCAGCGGGATACGGAACGGTCTCCAAACTGGGTTTAGGTTGTTTTTCACCACCTGAACAAGAGGCACTTGGATTGGCTTATGTCCTGCTATGATCTCCATGACAGAAGAACATGTATGCTTAGAGTGGCTTGTCATCAAAAAAAGATGAGGTTTAACCGCACTAATAATTAAAATTAAGCAGCAAAGCACACCAAAATCTAATCCAATCAGCTACTCCATATAAAGTTTTAACTGTGTATGATTCTTGTGTCACAGACTAACAGACGTCAAGAGACGGACACCAGCATGATGACATAATGTCCCACATACCATGTAACACAGTGGTGAGTCATAAACACCATTTTGCTAGTTGGAAGGCATTACCTGTATAAACTTAAAATGTCAGTCTAATTGTGACTTTACAAGCCCATGTGCTGACAAAGAAACCAAGTCCCCAGACAAAGCCAGAGTATCTGTACCTCTGTCCTGTGAGCCAGCTGCCACCCACTTTCTGTCTGCTTGTAGAATTCCAGGAAAGGATCGGACTTGCCAAAGAAATCCTGAAAATAAACAGGAAAACAACATGCAGCAGAACAAACTAAATTGCTTAATTGTACTTAATATTTCTCTGTTGTCTTAGCATGTGCGTATAATAAATTCTGAAGTGGTTTACAACAATAATCTCAATATAGATGCCTAGGTAATAACTTATATTTCACCATCAAATTTCACCTGCTGATTACACCACTGCAATAGTAGATTAATCCGTATCAAGCTTCAATTATATCCCCCATAGTAAGTGTTTACTTAAAGCACTTTGAATTGTCTGTGTATGAAACGTGCTATATAAATAAAGCTGCTTTGTCATATGCAGTGCCACCCCGACAGCAAACTTTTTCCCAAACTTGCTAAAGGTTGACTTTGCTTTCAATAAACTGACAGACGAAAACAAGGAAACCAAGCTGACTTGGTAACACTCCAGCCACCAAAGCCCTGATATGTAGTTGTATAGTGAAACTAACTTTAGATAATGTTTTTATATTCACAAAAAACTATTTCTAGTAGCAAAGACCACTGCAATATTGCTGAATTTCTAACTACAGAGGGGTCATCTACATTAATAGTTCTAAACATAACCCAAATGTGGCAATCAATACCTTTTTATCCAGTTTTCTAGCTGCAACATCCAATTCCACCACCCTGTTGTCTGTTCGTTCTTCTGCACATATCTACAAAACATTATACAGCATTGCTTTAAAAATATAAGTGCAAGGAACACTCGAACGCCTGTAATCACCTTTCATCAATACTGCAAATGTCATGCCAATCTGAAAGAAAGAAACTCACAGTAATGGTTCCTTTTCCTGCAGCTGCTTTGTCCGTCATGACCAGCGGTCTTGTTAGTTTCCTTGAGGACACAATCTGAACAAAAAAAAAAAACACTTCTCTGAAGTGTATGCAGTTATCTTAACCATCATTCGACATGCCACAGTACCAACACCACTTCCAATGACAGTTCTTTAATAATAATAAAAAAAAAACCAACAACTTCTAATACGTGTTGGTTTTAATGGTTAACCCAAATGAAGAGAATGAAGCATGATAAATAGGCTGTTGTTGTAAGCACATAGGGCTTACCTGTCCCAAGGTACACTCCATTTCTCCCAGGAAATCAGCGTCATGCAAACTGCAATTGGCACTGTCAATGTCATACACACTGAACTTCATCTTCTGCACCATCTCAAAGTAGTAATCAATGACAAAAGTCTTTGAAAATTTGGGATTAAGGCAGTTCTGGATCTTCTCTGTCCGGCCAATCTACCAGAGATACAGGTTACATGGTGAATAATTTGTCTTTGCACACAGTCTCTGTCAGACTCTGCTGACTCACATCAGGTCCTGACATTTCCAAGGTACAGTAACTGGAAGTATAACTGAATTTTCTCACTTCAGAAATGAGACTGGATAATGGAAATACTTCAAAAAAAACTAAAAATTGTCCTTATTCATCTGGTCTTTTAGATCAGCACTGGTATTTTGACTTACATTAATGTTAATAGATGTTAAACCAAATCTCCTGGTCACTGTGTAAAACAAATATTTGCTGGTTGAGTACTACATGTACTTCAGCCTTAGCACAGCTGTTTTAACATTTCAATGAAGAACCAGACATACTGTATGCGTATACAGTAGAACAACCATTTAACCTCCTTACCTCGCACCAGTGGGACCCTGAGCTGCTCATAAAAAGCACACAAAGAGGATCAGACTTTGAGAATGTGTCCCTGTCGAGCAGGTTGTCACAGGAGATCTGCAGCTCCACCTTTGTTGTACAGGCTGCGGCCCCAGGACCAGGAGCTCTAACGGCTGCCATCACAGCTTGGAGGGCACACTCGCACACAAGAGCTGACTGACACAAACACAGACAAACATCTTGACAAAATCATTTTTATACCACACTCATAACCAGCCATGTTACAACTGTACTGTAACTTGCAGTGAAGGCTACAGCCATCTAAACTCTTGTTCCATCCCCAGTTTATTCATCAGGAGTTCAAGTTACTTATTTTCCCGGTTCAGCGAAACTTCCTTAAAAAAAAATTGCCTAAAAGTAATTACGCCTTTAATTATTTTTTGCACTGTATACACATTCGCTTTGAGTTTTGTAGACATACAATACAGGTAACAACATTCATACAGTGTGTAAAGCAGCCATTTCTAGATTCTGTCAGCTTGGAATTGAAAATTCAGTTCCATAAAATCCTTTGTCTCTGTCCTTGTGCTCCTGCCAAAGCCCTCAGAACAGCGCTAAGCTAAGCAATTACGGCACAGCTGCTGGACCATATTACTACAAAAACCCAAAATACAGTGTTCCTACAAAGAATTAGTGGAAAAGGAGCAGCAGGAGAACAGGGAACACAGTTTTCTGATCACCATAAACCCAGCTAAATGGTTCATTTTCACTGGGTGCAATATCATTTGAAAAGTCTGGGAGGGGACATGGTAAATGGACTGTATTTTATATAGAGCTTTCTCACAGTGTGTTACACTGGCCAAAGCGCTTTACAGAAGATCATACACCATTCACCCATTCACACACAACATTCACACACCAATGACGACAGGCTGCCATGCACCGGCGCTAGTTAAGCCACCGGGAGCAATTCGGGGTTCAGTGTCTTGCTCAGGGACACTTAGGCATGCGGGGAGACCGGGAGTCAAACCACCAACTTTGCTGGTCAGGAGATGACTGCCCTACCTCATGAGCCACAGCCACATAGCACTGTTTTATTTTAGTCCTGTCTCACATTAAGGAGAACTTGATCCCAGACTTAAAGATGGACCGTCTATTCATCTGAGTGGTTGGAGATTTATTTTTATTTTCTGCTTGACATACACTGATCAGCCACAGCATTATGACCACCTACCCAATATTGTGTAGGTCCCCCTTTTGCTGCCAATACAGCTCTGATCTGTTGAGGCACAGACTCCACAGGACCTCTGAAAGTGTCCTCTGGTATCTGGCACCAAGATGTCAGAAGCAGATCCTTTAAGTCCTGTAAGGTGCGAGGTGAGGCCCCCATGGATCCCATAGATACTGTATTTAATTGGATTGAGATCTGGGGAATTTGGAGGCCAAGTCAACACCTTGAACTTTGTGGTCATGTTCCTGAACCATTTTTGCAGTGCGACACATTATCCTGCGGAAAGAGGCCACTGCCATCAGGGAATACCGCTGCCATGAAGGGGTGTACTTAGTCTGCAGTAGTGTTTAGGCAGGTGGTACATGCCAAAGTAACATCCACTTGAAAGGACGGAGTGTTTCCCAGCAGAACATTGCCCAAAACCTGCTTGCCTTCTTCCCATAGTGCATCCTGGTCCCATCTCTTCCACAGGCAAGTGACACACACACTCGGGCGTCCAGATGATGTAAAAGAAAATGCAATTCACCTTCTTCCACTGCTCTGTGGTCCAGTTATGATGCTCACATGCCCATTGTAGGCACTTTCGGTGGTGGACAGTGGTTAGCATGGGCACTCTGACCGGTCTGAGGCTACGCAGCCCCATACACAGTAAGCTGCCATGCACTGGACATTGTCACCTTTCTACCAGAACCAGCATTAGGTTCTCCAGCAATCTGTGCCATAGTAGCTCTTCTGTGGGATCAGACAACACAGGTTTACCTTTGTTCCCCATATGCAATTAACCATCAGTGCCCATGATCCTGTCGCCAGTTCACTGTGTTTCCTTCTTTAGACAACTGTTGATATGTATTAACAACTGCAGACCAGGAACACCCAGCAAGACCTGCTGTCTGGGAGATGCTCTGACCCGGTCGTCAGCCATCACAGTTTGGCCCTTGTCACTCAGATACTCCACACCCTGACAGGTGCTAATGTACCGAGATAATCAGAGTTATTCACTTCACCTGTCAGTGGTCATAATGTTATGGCTGATCGGTGGATAGTGAGTATGATAATTGTCTTATTCCAGCTAACTCACATGTGCCTTTATTGTTTCCTTGACTGCTGAACTGATGGATCTGCTTTTGGAGGTTTTTGGTTAATTAAATGGTTTAACTCGCTGAGATATACATCACAGTCAACTAAAGCTTCTTTCTCACGCACTGATTTTGTTCTACAAACATTTGTATGTATTTTCAGCATTTTCATCGTCTTTACATTTCAGTAAAATTATTGCTAATTCCCAAAGCCGGTTGTTTTGCCTGGTTCATTTTAATCTTGATGAATTTGCAACCAAACATCCAGCAGTTTTGTTTAGTTTTTTTTACAAGATACATGTGAGCCCCAGACGAACTTTAGACTGCGCAAAAACACGTCTGTGCGTCTTTGGCCCTCGTGACCCAAGAGCTTCGTGATAGTGTGTAGGAAAGGTTACGATGACTAAGATTTAATGTCACGTAAGATACCTGTGCGTATAGCGCTGCTGTTTTAAGGCCATCTTTAAAATTCCCGAACCTATCCTTGAATATATTATGGTACTCTTTTTACCCATCTGTAGTGCCTGTGTAGTCGTGCTTGGCGAGTGGCCAAATGTTTCTAAATTTGAGCTAAAAAGTCCACTTTTACACACTATGAATATTATTGATAAAGTCAACTATACCAACAAAACTATGTGAGTAGCCTGTGTACAGCGTAAGAACAACCTGTAAATTTCACTTGGCTATGCGGTGACTGCATTGCATAACGTCTCAAACAAGACAACCAGTGACTCCAGTCGGTATGTAACGCTACGGTGTTAACGACAGAGCAGTTGGCGTAAAGTTAGACTATAACAGAACACGAATATAACTGGCCAACCTTACGCAACTTAGCTGTAACAGTCACATGATGATACGAGCAAAAGCATACAAGCACCATGTCAGTCGGGTAGCTAAGCTATTAGTAGCTAATAAAACCTTTATGTCTATTAATTTTCTCAAAGCGAAGACGACAACGTGTCAATTCTAGCTTTACATATCCTACCTGGACAGTTTACCCGTTGCCTGGTGTGTTTTAACGTTAGCAGAGAAACTAGTGGTTGTGGTGGGCGGTGCCCGCTGGACACTCCCCAGTGCGCTCGTTTCACTTTACAGGGACAGCCGTCAGTCAGCTCCAGGAAGAGAGCCATGGGATCATAAGGCCTACTGCACTGATTAAAGTACTCGGGTTGTTTACTTAAGTAAAGGAAGCAATACCATAGTGTAAAAATACTTTGCTACAAGTAAAAGTATTGCACTGATAATGTTACTTAAGTAAAAATACAAAAGTATTTGCAGAAAATATATTTAAAGTACTAAAAGTAGAATTACTCATTATGCAAAATGGCCTAGTTTACAATGATGTACATTATATTATTTGACAATTATCGATGTATTATTGTGTATTTCATGTTGAATGAATTATGCCTGAATGCTGTCAGTTGCAGTTTCCTGTTGCATCTGCCTCTGAAGTAAAAGTGAAAAATTGACCAGTTTCTTTGGGATGAGTTTTAATTTTAAGTTTTAATAAACTACATTTCAGAATCTATGCTCTGCCATTGGACCAGCTGTCCAAATGCTACTCCTTCTCCCTCAGCAGTGACAGATGTGTGGGTGCAGTACTATTTAGTGGCCACATTGTTTTACTATTTTGCTTTTCCGATGAAACGATTCAACTTGAGGAGAGTGCTGCTATAGTATCATGGGCAGTGTAAAAGATTGAGATGTAAATGTGTAAACTCTTTAGTGAAATTAGTCAGGACAGATTAAGATACAGGACTCTATTAGGGTGAACGAACTGAGCTGTGGAGTATTATCTCTCCCTGTATATTAAGACTATGCTCATGGCATCGAACTAAAGTAATCACAAGAGAATGAAACACCAGTGCCCTGTTGACAGAGACTGTATGTGTTCATGTTAGTGTGTGTTCATGTTCTGTTACTGGGGCAGGAACAAGCCATCTGGGCACCATAATGGAGGGTGTCTGGTGGGACTAATGGGCTTCGGCCAACATGGAAATAGTAAATAGGATCGTGTGGTGTTGAGGCATGGAAACTCTCATAAAAGGGTAGTTTTGGTGTCTACCTCCTTCTTCAACCCAGCTGATCTTACAATAGGTTAATATTCAATTTAACAGTAATCAGGTTCTCAATGTCACTGTACAGTATTGGTGCACCAGAACGAGAAGAAGACTCCAAAACACACCAGGGTGAGCCACATAAAGCTCAGATTTGCACTTTAAGTGTTTTCAAACTTTGTGGTATATCTTTACAAAAGAAAAGACTTTAATACAATGGTGACTAAGTGGCTGGTTTTGCATGCGCATCTGGTTTGTTTTCCCATCTCCATTAAAATATTATGCACAGCTATGTCCCGAATGTTTCTGGAAAATGCATCCAGGACTGTCTCGTAGGTGAGTGAGGTCTGATGCAGGCAGTCTGATGGTGCTGGTGTTGATGTAGTCTGGACACATGAGCACAGTGCTGTCTTAGATGGTTTTGAAGATTAGATTTTGATGATTAAGACAATATATTTTTAACAAATACAGTGACAACACTGGGAGACTGTGCCAAGTAACAGCATGGATAAAGTGACACGGGGGACCAAAGGCAGAAAAACATTTAAAAAACATAGAAATATACAAAAAACAATGACATTTAATCAACACATTCCTATCAAACCATCAAGTAAAATGTTTTTTGTACCCACAATACACTGTGATTACTTTTATTGTAACTGTTTGGCAAGATCTTGTACTACAAGGTATTGTGTATCATAATCACAGAAATTCTTTAGTGAACTTTAAATCAAGTTAAGTTAAACAATACAAAATCCTGTCACATATTTTGGGTTGATTATGAATTTTTTTTTTAACCCCATGTTCATATAACAGCACAAACTGCAAACAACCATTCTTGGCACTGATTTGTGCCATTCCATACTGTAAATACAGGAAAAGGGTGCAGGTGGCACAGAGTAGGCCACACCGTTTCCCTGCAATGACAATGTCACACAAGTAAGAACTAGTACCCACACTTGCAGTATTTGTGAGTAGTCAAGTGCCTACTACCGCCAAGATTTGGACTGGTAGGATGGTGAATTGAGGAATACACTTTGAAGAAGTGTGCATCAAGTGTGGCATAGGTACACTGTGAGTTTCTGATACGGGACACGCTTCATGACAGGAGGGTCCGACTGTGGACCCCAGGTCGGTGAGCCAAATGGAAAAGGGGTGTGAGGTGGGTCACTTCCATTTTCTGAGCTTTTTCTTATATTTAATCAGATTTGAAAATGCTCAAGTTTCTCTCCTACCTACTCTATTAAAATGGGTTCATGGTTGGCACAGCTCAAATCACAAGGACACCAATAATTAAGCTCTTTTAATAGTACACAATAAACTGCTTTCCACATACAGAACCAAATATGCAGATGCTATCTCTGATGCAACTGAACAGCTCAAGCTGATTAATTAAAGAAATGAGAAAGTGCAGCATGCTGGTCTATATGTGTAACTTCATCAAGTCTTTAAATATTTGTTCTAAGGATATTAAAGGTTTTCTAAACATTTCTCCGTAGCTGCCAGGTGGGAGGAACCTGGGTTCCAAAACCAAACACAGGAAACATCCTGTTACTACCCAGGAGGACAGAAGAAACAGCAGTATAAGAATACTACAAACACAGATTAAGCACAGTATATTAACCTTTAAATCTAAATATTGTGGAGTGTGATCATTAACTTGATACAGAGATTGTCAAGTAAGCAGAATGTAAAAAAATCTTGGGTTAGTGTTTTTAATAAGATAAAAATAAGCCAAGAATCAGAAAAATAATTACTTCACTATAGCAGTGCAACAATCAGAGTCGCCGCAACTCAAACACCCCACAGTTCTGCATGCGATTTGACAAAATCCAATTAATGAAAGATTGTGGAACGTTCAAACATCAGAGACAGAATCCAATATTTAACAGGATGCTGGATTTTGAGTCAAGTGAATAAAAAGGACACACCTTCACGTGATGATGTAATGAATTGTGCACACACACACACACATACACAGAAACCTAGTCCAGTTGATTTTTTTCCCTAGTTTTTTCAGCTTACTATGACCTGGATGACTGAGAATCTACACGGACATGTTGGACACTTTTGCTTTGTGGACCATACTGCAATGAGCAACAAGTCTTTTAATCAGCAATCATGCAAAGTGACATAGAGTAGGAAAGCAGCAAAAAGCATGTTTTTAACCCAGTCATGGCCCCTTAAAATGACAAACTAACGAGAGAAGCAATCAATGAAGGGTCACCTTACCCATACCAGAGGTAGAATGTCTAAATCTAGCAAGATGCTGGTACTTTATGCCATTGCAACTATTCTGTTCAGTATGTCCATAAATACAGTGCTTCAGTCACCTTAAAGGCATAATTTACTACTGTTGTACAGGGTGGGCCATGGAAAAGTAGCCCGCCTCCAGCAATAGTATGAACGAGCAAGTGGACTGTTTTGGAGGCAGGCTTCTTTTCCGTGGCCCACGTGGTATATCTTTTAAAAATGAGAAGAGTACACTCACTGAGATGGTCTCATGACCTGCAGGCCTCTTGTCCTTCAGCAACAAAGGCCGACTCATCTGCCTGCTAGAAACAATCTGGACACAAAATGCTGGCAACATCAAGGCTGAGGAACAACCGACATTTTCTTTCAAAACTGTAGTCGATAAACTTCTTAGCAAACTTTGGGTTCAGGCAGTTCATTATTATCTCTGCGCACCCAAACTGATTCACAAAGAAAAAACATATATGTAATGTAAGATTATGTCAAACAGCTCAGGGTAAATCAGAAAACAAATGCAGGAAACACCATTTACTCCTATGGTAGCCATGCACACAGGTACTGTACATGTGTCATACATCTAAATGGCTATATAGTTTGCATAATGAAAATATGACTTTAACTGGTCTCAGTGAAAATCTTGGCCATGACCACAGACCTCATACCACTGTGAGCCTGATGTGTTGATGTACAAGGCACACAGAGGGTCAGACTTAGAGAGGATGTCCATGTCCATAAGGTTCTCACAGGAAACAGTCAGTGCTACCTTGGTGACCCAGCCAACGGCCCCTGGGGCCCTACTTGAGGCCATGGCAGCTTGTTGTACAAAGATGATCACACAAATGCACCACATCAACAGATGTTGTCAGAGGTGAGAACAATTATATACATTTACTCAATTCACTTATTTACATTTACTCGTTTAGTTACTATACTCTAGTGGGCCTACTTGTGCTGTACTTAAATATTTCCACCTTCTGCTCCTTTACAACATTACAGAAGGAAACATGTACTTTACTCTGCATAATAACTACCTTTACAGACACTTTAGAATTTGCTGCTTATAGCTACTTTTATTTTACACTTGTAAATTTTTGAATGTCTGGAAATATACGTTTACAGTATGAAGAGTACAGCTGGCTAGGCCAGAGATGGAGCTGTCACTCAGTGTCAAGCTAACTTCTCCCGCTCGCTTTAACTCTCGGTCAACGTGGAACTCTGGTGTTAGCTTAGTAAACATGTTAGACCGCCTGTTTGTGTGTGCTTGGCACATTTGTGCTAGTTAAAATTACACGAAGAACATGTTGTACTGACACTACGCGGAACAACAGTCAGTATAATAATACACAGGAACTCTCACGAGTTTGGTTGTTTCTCATCGACCGCATATGTAGAGGGACATATTACACCGGCGTGCATTCAAGAAAGACACTTTGTAATGTCATTATTTAATCTACTGTGGTTTCTAATTAACATTTATGAAATGAACATATGGGATATCTAATTTAGATGTTCATGTAGCCTTTTAGAACATTTGTTGTTTTTTCCAATTTACCTTAATTTTAACTGATACAATCTTCCGGTGTTAGCATTAGGTCTAACAGCTAGGGAGGCGATGTTTGAAAACTCCAGAAGTCGTTCAAAACGCTTGGGCCTAACTTACGATTGCTCGGTGGGCTTACCTGTAGAACCAAGCGAGAGAGACTATCTGGACGATAAAATAATTTTAACTCCTTTCCCAAGTTGTGACTCTTGTCTCCAAACCAAACTTAGTTTGATCTTAAGGTAGACAGGAAACAGAATCGCAGCTTTAGAAATGAGTTGAAACTTCTTGCAGCGCCAGCGAGCAAAATGTCTTATCATTCAGATTTTAGTGTCTGGGAATTCTCAAAATCAGGATAGAAATATTACAAATATACGTAGGGCCTGCACCGTCGGTCACACACTATAGCAATAAAATGTGTAGACTGTTAGCCCAGAGACAAATTTCCCCATTCAGTGTTGTTTTGCAACGTTTTAGTCTTGAATGTTCCTTGTTTATCTTTGCAGAATGAGGGCCAGCCCCGTGAACCTATTGATTAGCCCTTATGTTTGTTATACCGTGTCCGTCCTGACCATTGACTGTGTGGCGTCTGGACATAATGGCAGGACGAGTGTTAACGCGTTATGTGGGCAAGACTTTACTGTCAGCGCCTGGAGCAAAAGGCATCGGAGTTAGAGGAACAGCCCGGCTTTACTGGACGGCCACTGCTCGGACTGTAAGCAAAGATACATTTTATTTACAGTAAGCTAATCGGACAGAGTTGTTATTCTGCATAAACCTGCTAGAATCATTCTCATTTTGGAAGAGCAGTGGTTTCGCTGCACACTGTCCGAGAGCTGCCAGCTCTGAATAAGGATGTAACACTAGTGACATCACAGTGTCAAGGTGCAACAGGTGTAGATGGTTCCTGCGAGGAGTGGGCATAGTTGAATAGATTCTTATTCAGATTTAACTGATAAAATCCTGTCTAAGTGCGACTGACACGGTACTATGAGCACGGTGGAGCTCGGTGGAGCTCAGATTACGCTAAAACTGGCTTCTGATTCGACAAAAAAAAAAGAAAAATCAGTGAAGTATCCCTTTAAATCTTTTCGCAAATAAAATAAAGGTTTTACAAATCTGAAACAGTGTGTTCAAAACACTGATCTGATCATTTAGTCCAGATTTAACTGGTCTAAGCCTAACGTTAGTGGTTTTGGACCTAGACCTGGTGTGATGTGACTGTCTTTCTTGTGCACAGAGTGGAAGAGCTGCATTCATCCTGGGGCTCCCTACACTGTCCTGCCTGGGTTATGAAGTTTACCACAGATTACAAAGTTCAGCTGTGGTCCACGCTTTACAAAAAGGTAGTTTGTGTGCCACTGGAGATTTTGGAACTCAAAGCTGTTTTTCAGGAATTAGCCTAAGTTTAGAATACCACAGTTGTTTCAGTGTGAAACCTGGAAACTGAGGTGTGATATAGTGAGTTCACGTTTTCAAAACTCACCACACAGCTCTCTTTACAGGTCATCTCACATCTAAAATGCTATCATACCGGTTCAACCAAAACACTTGATACCTTTCTGAGGACCCACTCATGCACCAGAACACTAAAAACTAGTGTTTGGATTATGCTACCTTATAGTGCACATCAGGAAATGCTTGAAAACCCAAAAACGCACACAGAAGTGCAAACCCAAACAACTGATGAGGTGAAATCACCTCCTCATTTATGACTTGTCAAGATCTGCATTAACTGTTGTGTCCTGTGCATGCATTAACACAGTGAATGGAGTTTGTTCCTTCCATCTCATGATACTGTGTACATGACTTGAAAATCAATAATTACTTAACAGACTAAAAAAAAACACATACACAATAAAGTCTAAACCTCAGCACAACATTTTTCATTCAGGGGACATTCCATGAAGGGTTCACCTGATGGTGATGGGATGCACCGGACAACATGTTCACCCATGCATCATTACATTCTAGCAGACCTACAAGCCTTCTCTGAATGTGGCATCATATTTGTGTAGCGTTATTCTGACATTAAACTCAGAAGTCTGAGAGAAAAAAAACAAGTCAGAATTCAAATAAATACTTTATAGTGGTCCTAATCCACTTTCATAGGAAGATCAACAGATGACAGACAAAGCTGTTGAACAAAGGCACTAATGGTAGGTAGGTAGGTACTTTATTGATCCCTCAATGGGGAAATTTCATGAATAGCTTGGGTCAACGAACATGACTTTTGAAAGTTTGGTCATGAGTGCATTCGATGTCAAAGCAGTGAGCGATGCCCCACAGGTTAGTCCACGCCGACTTCTGTAGTGCTCTATGTGTGAAGAGTTTAGAAACCTTGTATAGAGAAATAACAAAAGAGTGAGAAGGTTTTCTGACTGAGTTGCTGTTGTGTTTGTGCAGAGGAGGTTTTGGAGCAGGCAGACTACCTGTACAGCTGTGCAGAGACGGAGAAACTCTACCAGATGCTGCTGCAGTTCAGGAACAGGTAAAGCTACTCATGTTCACTGGCGTCATTGTTCACACATGCTCTTTCCTACTTTTTATGTATCTGGAGGACTAAAAAGTGCAGTCAGTACATGATTTGAAATGATTTAGGCTGGAAATAACCTCCACTGGAAGTTTCAGTCCAACAGTCAGTAAACTGAAGGAGAAAGTACATAATAAAAAAGACGAAAAGCTGAGAGATGTTAGCAGCTAACAAAACTTAATATATGCTTATTTCCCTTGTGTGTTAATATGAAAGGTGCAATATTTATATATTGGTTGGTTGGCTGGTCTTTTTTGTTCATAACTCATGCAGTAAACACAGCCTTGTGTTTTGTCAGTATTCACAAAGTGCTTTGTACTGTATCTGAATGTGATCGTGCTAATAAAGCCACTTGAACAGAATCATTTACTACACACCACATCTGTACTAATCTGAGGTGAGCAGTATCGACTAAATGCTTGGTGTCTTGTGTCAGCAATGACGCAGACTTCCTGTGGCGTCTGGCCCGGGCGTCTCGAGACCTGTCGCTGCTGCCTAACACGGAGGCTTGGCAAAAGAAGCAGCTGACATTCGAGGCCTTCGAATATGCAAAGAAGGCACTGGAGAAAGATGACAAGTGTTTTGCAGCACACAAAGTAAGACTGGTGATCACTGGGGGTTTCTCCTTTTTTGTTTTTCTTACAAAAAATGTTGACATTTCTCTTTTGGGCTTTCCATCACAAGAAGCCCTGACAGCCACAGTACAATAACCAAAGTGTTGCATGCATTTGCACACTCACTCTTTCTCTCTTCACACAGTGGTACGCTGTGTGTCTCAGCGACATTGGCGATTACGAGGGAATCAAGGTGAAAATTGGGAATTCATACATCATCAGGGAACATCTGGAGGTGGGAGGACATCTGGATCATATATGTCAGATTATCCCTGTCTCACATGTAACTATCCTGAGTGAAACATTTTGCTTTGTCCTAGAGAGCCATCAAGCTCAATCCCAAAGATGCCACTTCCTTACACATTCTGGGTTACTGGTGAGTCTTTTGTAGAATTTTTAACAACTTTTTGCAGTACAGTATGTCACTCTTGTGTCAGATTGTATTAATTATTATACGGTACCTTACTTACAGGTTCCCTATAGGGTAGTTTCGTACATAAAGGGAATTCAAAGTACTTAACACAGTGCACACAGATAAAACATTCATTCATTTTCTACCGCATAGTCCCTGAATGGGGTCACGGGGGGACAGATAAAACATTAGACTGCAAATTAAAAGCAGCAATACATGACAACACAAAGTAGTAGGGAGAGCTGTGGCACACTGTGGATTCTCATTGCTCTACTTTGTACCACTTCAGTCTTCCCTTGAAGCACTATACAGCAGTTTCATATGGGTGGGGTTCTGCACACGAGTAGGGCAGTGTACTGTCCCTGATCAGTGGTTAACACACCCATGGTACAATGTCGGAAAAAAAATGCTGTGCAGAACACTGCCAGCTAGCAAACCCAGTTGTGAACAGTGGCGACTCCTCGCGTCTCTTACTCACGTCTTAGCTTCACCCAGTGGGGATGTGGGAGAGAGATAGAACAGAAGAGATCTGGTCACCAAACAGGACATCTCGCAGCGTCATTTCGAGGAGACGACTCAGGATGTGCAGTAGCTCAGCTCTCAAATGTGCAGAAATAAGCAAGGGTAAGAAGACCAAATGGAAATAAGAAGAAATGAAAAATCTGCTGAAGTAAAAAATGTAAAGAACGGAGCGTGATAAACGATGGTGGAGCTCCATCAATTCCCGGGGTCATGGATGACAGAGGAGGAGCGGAAGCAGAAATTGGCAGCAAGGAGAGTCCCTTGTTCTGCATTTAAAATACTTGGCTAATGCTTTGCTTTCTTAGGTGCTTTGCTTTTGCTGAGCTGCCCTGGTATCAACGCAAAGTGGCGGCTGTCATTTTTGCATCCCCACCTGTGTCCACATATGAGGAGGTGAGGACTCTGGCTGGTTTGCTTCTTACTGCACAGTGGCTGAAGTGCCATTACAGTTGTCATTTTTTGGGGTTTCTGCTTGGAGATACACAAATAACTTTGGATGAAGAAATGTTTTTCTTTCTCTTTCAGGCTTTGGAATTCTTCCTGAAAGCTGAGGAAGGTAAAACACTGTAAACTAATAAAGTCACTGAAGCAGTGACTGAGAAATCTTCTGTTGGCTGTAGTTCACACTCTTAGAAAAACCATGACAGCACTGAGCTCTTAGATTTCTTTAAACATTTACAGTCCGTTTATAACTTGAATACGTTTCTTCTCTCAGTTGATCCAAATTTCTACAGTAAAAACCTGCTAATGCTCGGGAAGGCCTACATGGCCATGAAAGACAAACAGAAAGCTCTGTACTGGTTAAACAAAGCTAAAGAGTGTCCTGCTCACACGCTGGAAGACAAGGAGGTACACACACTCATTTGATTTGACTGCATTTACACCAACACCAGAGTCGTCTGTACTGTTGCTTTACAGTGGATTTGTTCCTCTGCAGGTGCATAAAGAAGTGTTGGAACTCCTGAAGAAGCTGGGATGAATCTGATGCCCCTGAGCTTTTGGACAGTTTTTAGTTGCTAACAATGTTTTCTTATTATGATAATACAGTAGAACTATGAGTAGCCTTGCACACAGGAATCACCTGTGCACTGTAGAGATAAAGTGCATCCTGCAACTTTTGATATTGCAGTAATAAACAGGATTTAGATGATCACTTAATGCACATCAGGCCTAAATTCCTCTTAAGCTGTGTTTAAGGGGAAATGTTGCATATTGTAACGAACATTTCAGATCATAAGTTGACTGCATTGTGTTATTACTAAAGGACAATTTAGAACGCAAAGCGGTGTGGTCAGTCAAACACATTCCTTGTGACTCTAGTCCTTTGTCGACAACAGTGATCTGTTGTCTCCAAAAAAGTATTAGCATCAGATTTTATGGCTATCAAATGTAATCACAGCTCTTATTGGGTTTACAGTCATGCACCAATTGTCCCAAAATGAATTCATAGCACCTGTAAAGATGGTCAGATACATTTATTAAATGCTTTTTTTTCTACAGGTAAGATCCAAACAAAATGAAGATAAAGCCAGAGACACTGATTTTCCTTAATCAAACAAAATAAACATTGCCAGTGGTTTTGCTGTGAACCCTGAGCTAAAAGGTGTGTAATCCCTCTGATAATCACACAACAAAAAGCAAGCAAGCATGGTCATTGAGGGGGTTTAATCATTTATTTTTCTCTTAAATCCATCTCTCTTCTTTTAGTGAAAGATTAAAAATGAATCTTCTATACACGTACTCTCCAGTAAAGGGGCATTCTGTACAGCACAGGTGTTTATAGTATGCATCTATATGCGATATGTTACAGTTAGGACATGTTTCAGATTGCCTGCACAGGTGTAACCTTCCTGCTTCATGACTGCACACTGAAGTGAGCCACAGTGTGCAAAAATCAGCTTTACTCTGACAGAATACAACAAAGGCGACCTGAAACACCCAATCAGCTTTTGTTAAGAACCAAGGCATCACAGATTTCCATTAACAGAGCAGCGGCTCTGTGTAATTAATTATAATATTTCAGTACTTCATTTACGCTCATCTTTATACAATGAATATTCATGTACACAGTTGATTTTCTTTGATTATAGGTTTCTGTTCAAAAGGAAGCACAAAGTTCTGCAGTTCTCTTGATTCGGCTCCTTTTGCTACAATAAAGGTTTGTCTTCGTGTTGTCGTTCCTCCCTGCATCTCAGCTGAGTCCTGCTAAATGCATCACTGATGACTACTCACAAGCTCCTCCTAGAAAAGGTCTAACAGCTTTTTGCTGTTTGCAGTGGTCTGGAAAAAAAAACAATGTTGGAGGAAACAAGGATTTGCATTTAGACCACAGGCTGAAAGAATGGCCTCAGAAGTGACATTTAAAAAAAAAAAAACAAAAGCAGCAGCTGAGAAAAGAATTAGCAAGGGGAAAGGGGGATGCACAAATCAAAAACAGCAATGTGATGTGTCGTCAGATCTGCTGCTGCCAGTCTTCAAACAGACTGCTGAGGACATATGGCCTGTGGCATGTTAGTTTCTCTTTAATGGAGTCTGACAACTGTTACTTTAACGTGAATCAGATTTATTTCTGCAAATAGCCTCAACTTTACTGATTTCTACAAACTCAAAGTCTGAGACAGACAGAGACTGGACATAGGCTGGATAACTGAGCCCGTATCTTAAGCAAAGGGCTCAGCACTATGGCTTGAAGATCATGTTTGTGTAGCTGAAGTGCAGCCAAACAGCAGGCGCACACTGTTATGACAGAATCATGTTCTAACAATACTGTAGTGTAGCTATGAGTGTTATTCCCCAGATTAATACTTTTAAGTGTTTAAGCCTTTCATTTTTCCTGGCCAGTTTTTACTGCATGCAGTATTGGTATACATCTGTATATGTTGTTTTCAAGTACTTTGATACCTTTTTTTAATGCAGCATTTAGTCCATGGAACTTTCAGAACATTTCCTGCCATTTTGGGAAATATGCCAGAGAGCCACATACAACACTGGCTTACTGTTTACCATTACCAACCATTAGTTAATAGATGGCAACAGTTGAGCTCCATTCACAACAGTTGAATGTATGGACGTGATGTTCCTTGGACCTGATGGCCAAAAATGAATTTTTTTCAGTTGTCAATGAGCTGTGTTTGATATTCATGGGTCAAATGTCTGTCGGTATATTTGTCTATAACTGAGGAGTTAAAGTAAATGTGTTTTGCAAGTTATGAAATAAGCACCATCATGTCTGGTGCTCTATAAACCATAGTTTACAGTTCCTTTCAAAGACACAAAAGAGAATCAGCCCAGCAACAACAGAGCAACTGACTCTGGTTTTTGTCCTTGGAGGCTACTGTAGGTGTCCTGGAGCACATCCAGTATCTCTGCCATAGACCTCAGGATGGTGAGCCACAGACTCCACCGTCCTCACAATCACACAAATATATTTTTCTTGAGTCCCCATTTTCATTGTGATATAATCCTTTTTCCTAACTCATGTCTGTGTCCAAACGAGAGGATCTGATGATGCTTCTTTCTCTGGGCTGGTGTCCACACACATCGTCTGCTGCAGAACTGTCCATTGTGACCACTGTGCCTTTTTGTAATGGTAACAACCAGCTCATCTAGACACAGAACGATCCAATCCTTGAGTGTGTGAGTTTAGTAGTCACAGCTCATCTTCAGAAGCAGCCATGCAAGCAGCAAAAATTGCAACAGAAAAACACAATTCAGGCACAAAACCCCAATACTCTCTTGCCTTTTAAAACTCTATAGAACTAGAGCTTTAAAAGAAGATTGCGCTTCAACTATAAAATCCTCTCAACAACTCTAAGTCTCTTTTAAAAAGACAGTCAGCCACTGGGAGGAAATTTTTAAAAAGTGTCCATGATTTCTGTTTTTAAACAGAGCAAAAAGGCTGAAATGCTTGCATATTTCATGATGGGGTATCATAAATATGGAAGGGCTGGAGAACAGGATTGCGGCAAAAAAAAAAAAAAATCATGGTGCAAATTAGGATTTGGTTTAAAATGACAAAATAGCTTATTATACATTGGTGGTTATCTTGTGCAATTTTTTTTAGTTTTACTTGGCTGAATAAACAGCAGCAAGGGGAAGGGAGAGAAACACCCGAGGACTCCTCCCTCTACTCTTGGCCAAAGCCTTCTGTTTCCTCGATGGCGAAGAGCAGCTTCTCTTTCAGCTGTTCGAAGCTTTTGTATGGAGGCAAGTCCAGACGGTTAAAACTGAGGAGACAAAGGAGGACCAACGATGCTGGGTCAGATGCTTCACAAAACATGTCGTGGTTATAAACCTGTTCCTGTCCTGTTATAAATGTGCCCCTATGCTCTTATTTATTTAGAAATTTGGTAGGTGTTTATATGCATGATCAACAAAACCTCCCAGTAATACATATATACATCCACTCACCATGTGTGGCTCCGAGGGAGCCATGTGTCCTTCCCCACCTTCTCAATGCAGAACTTCTGTGGCCCATTACTTCCTGTAGTGCAAAAGATGATGAGGAATGAGAAGATTTTTAAGTTCACACCGGTAAAATGTGGACAGTTACACATTTTTTCAACACGGATGTAAAACTACTTCAAATGAAGCCGATATCTGGCTCATTAATATTCTATGCATTATTTGACTTCAAACAGAATGTGAGGCAGCACGGTGGCACAATTAGTGCTGTTGTCCAAGAGCAAGAAGGTTCCAGGTTCAAGCCCCAGCTGACCCGGGGCCTTTCTGTGTGGAGTTCGCATGTTCTCCCTGTCCCTGTATGGGTTCTCTCCAGGTATTCCGGCTTCCTCCCACAGTCCAAGGACATGCAGCTGGCTATTCTAAATTTACCATAGTAGTGAATGAGTGTGTGTGTGTGTGTGTGTGTGTGGGGTTGTCTGTCTCCAAGTGTCAGCCCTGTGATAGACGGGAGACCTGTCCAGGGTGGACCCCACCTCTCACCTAGTGACTTCTGAGACCTGGTTCTGTAACCCTTTTCAGGATAAGCGGTATAGATAATGGATGGATTGAATGTGCTGAAGAAGAACAAATATTCCAGATACTCACAGTCTGGACTTTACATGTGTATAGTATGTACCTGTACATCTTTTCTTTTTTTACACTGTAAATGTGCTACTCGCTGTGTGCATCCATCACTGACCCATGAGCTCAGCGAAGCCGCCCAGAGGAACCCTGCAGGTTCCAGTGACAAACTGCATGAGCCGCAGTCGTACTTCATTGTCCACTTCTTTCACCAGCTGTGGGGGAGCAGTGACAATTCAGTAATCAGGGATGGCACACTACTGGTTAGAGAGACTGCTCATCAAGCATCACACGATGTGACATTTCAAATCAACCTTCAAAGGAAGCCACATGAACTTAAAAGAAGTGTGTGAGCCCTGGCATTTTGTGCCAGGAGTTGTGCTGCTCTGCCTCTGTGTACCTGCCAGAACCAGATGATCTGCTTGCTGTTCCTGGTATAATGACGATACACTGTATTCCTCTGCCAGTCCTGCAGGTCTACCTCCTGCATGCCACACAGCATCACCTGGACAAAACACACACAGGAGCGTAAATAACAGGCAGAGAATAAGAGTATAGCTACACAGGGGAATTCTCACACAAAAGAAATTAAAGAAAAGCTTTTGCACACACATCAGCATTATTTCATATTATTTACAGAATATCTAAGCAGAGCGGTTAAAGGCTCTGCAGAGTGGGGTTGTTTACAGGAATTAGAAAGACACAGGAGACAAACTGCAACAAAACACAAACATATTAGAAATGTATTACTGTACTTGCAGCAACAGTCACACTGCTCACCTCCAGCTCCTTCTCATCAAAGTACTGGAGCCACTGAAGTGGAACCACCTCGTTGAAGCCATCCAGGAAAGCTTTGGTCTGACCTTCTACCCCACGGGAGAACCTCCACTCTGCCATTAGACTGCAAGCCAAACGGCAAATATGGAGTAAGTTCCAAAGAAAATCATTTAGTCCAAAAGGGTTTTCCGAGGTCAGATATCATTGCTGTTGTGATTGAAGAGTGGTTATACTTTCACCTGATATACTCCTCCTTGTTCTCCTCAGTGACTAAGATGTTCACACCATCAGCCTTGAGGTCATGAGACTTTATCTCCCCCAAGATCTCCATATCTACTGAGAAGAACATCTCCAGACCACACTCTTCAATGTTGTTGTCTCTGAGGAGACATGAGGTTGTGTTACTGTCACATAACAGCTGTACCAGATACAGTGACAGCCTGTCTGAACATGGCCTAACACATTACGTTAAATATTTACTTAGCAACTTATTTGATTAAACCAGACAGAAATGCACACACACAAAAGTTTAACTGTCTACTCCTCACTCTGGAAGAACTACACAGTTCCTGCTGCCTCAAAAAAGCCCACAACATCATTAAAGACATTTCACACCCAGGATGTTCACTCTTTGGGGGCGGGGGCTGTTGTTTATTTCATTTTTCTAGCAGCTAAGTTTTTTATATGGTCTTATTTCAACGTTATGTTTTTTTCTATTCTATTTTTTCGTTGTACGTGTTACAATGACAATAAGCACAGGTCACTGTACGCCAAGACAACCAGACACAAGGACAGTTTCTTCCCCGGGGCCATTACTCTGATGAACACTTGACCATGACAGTATGACTGGACAATAAACCCTCAGTGCAACACCTGTAAATATACACTGTACATATAGTTTCATTGAATCCAGACTCTTGTGTGTTTTATACACAAGTATTCACAGGGCTTAACTTTTTTCCACATTTTGTTATGTTACAGCCTTATTCCAAAATGGATTAAATTCATTATTGTCCTCAAAATTCTACAAACAATATCCCATAATGACAATGTGAAAAGTTTGTTTGAAATCTTTGCAAATTTATTAAAAACAACAACAACGACAACTAAAAAAAAATCACATGTACATAAGTATTCACAGCCTTTGCCATGACACTCAAAATTGAGCTCTGGTGCATCCTGTTTCCACTGATCATCCTTGAGATGTTTCTACAACTTGACTGGAGTCCACCTGTGGGAAATTCAGTTAATTGGACATGATTTGGAAAGGCATACACCTGTCTATATAAAGGTCCCACAGTTAACAGTGCATGTCAGAGCACAAACCAAGCCATGAAGTCCAAGGAATTGTCTGTAGATCTCTGAGACAGGATTGTATCAAGGCACAGATCTGGAGAACGGTACAGAAAAATTTCTGCAGCATTGAAGGTCCTAATGAGCACAGTGGCCTCCATCATCTATAAATGGAAGACATTTGGAACCACCAGGACCTTTCCTAGAGTGGGCCACCCGGCCATACTGAGGGATCAAGAGAGAAGGGCCTTAGTCAGGGAGGTGACCAAGAACCAGATGGTCACTCTGAAAGAGCTCCAGCATTTCTCTGTGGAGAGAGGAGAACCTTCCAGAACAACCATCTCTGCCTCCACCAATCAGGCCTGTATGGTAGAGTGGCCAGACGGAAACCACTCCTCAGTAAAACACACATGGCAGCCCGCCTGGTGTTTGCCAAAAGGCACCTGAAGGTCTCTCAGACCACGAGAAACAAAACTCTCTGGTCCGATGAAACACAGATTGAACTCATGTCTGGAGGAAACCAGGCACCACTCACCACCTGGCCAATAGCATCCCTACAGTGAAGCATGGTGGTAGCAGCATTGAGCTGTGGGGATGTTTTTCAGCGGCAGGAACTAGTCCTGCCGACTACATCCTAGATCCTGAGACTAGTCAGGATCAAGGACACAATGACTGCAGCAAAGTACAGAAACATCCTTGATGAAAACCTGTTCCAGAGCGCTCTGGACCTCAGACTGGGGCGATGGTTTATCTTTCAACAGGACACCAACCCTAAGCACACAACCATGTTAACAAAGGAATGGCTACGGGACAACTCTGTGAATGTCCGTGAGTGGTCCAGCCTGAGCCCAGACTTGAACCTGATTGAACATCTCTGGAGAGATTTGAAAATGGCTGTGCACTGATGCTCCCCATCCAACCTGATGGAGCTTCAGAGGTACTGCAAAGAAGAATGGGAGAAACAGCCCAAAAATAGGTGCTTCAACAAAGTATTAAAGACTGAATACTTATGTACATGTGATTTTTTTTATATACATTTGCAAAGATTTCAAACAAACCTTTCACATTGTCATTATGGGGTATTGTTTGTAGAATTTTGAGGACAATGAATTTAATCCATTTTGGAATAAGGCTGCAATATAACGTGAAAAAAGTTGAGCGCTGTGAATACTTTCTGGATGCACTGTGTGTGTGTGTGTGTGTGTGTGTATATATACTGTATATAAAACATGTACAGGTCTATTTATAAGTACTTTGCTGTTATTCTTTTATCTCTTTTCCTAATGCACATTCCCTTGCTTGTTGACATGTATGTACACATTGAGAGCTGCTATACCAGAGTCAAATTCCTCGTGTGTCCAACACACCTGGCCAATAAAGGTGATTCTGATTCTGATAAAGGATTATCTTATCTTATAGAGCATGAACAGGTTAGGTATGATAACATCCAAAAAACCCACTCCTCATTTCTCTAGCTATTGCCAAGAAAACAATCTTTCAAAATTGGAAATCAAAAAAATCAATACGCATAAGCCACTGGACCAACCTTCTGACAGAATACATCACATTAGACAAAATGACATCCACTCATAAGAATAGTTTATCTGCTTTTTATGACACATGGAACCCATTTTTAACACATTTCAACTTGAATCAAATGCCTGGGGCTGAGGCCATGCACATTCCCACCAACCTCTAAAATGTAACAAACTTTTTTTTTTTAATAGTACTGTTATCATCATTATTACTGGCAATTGTTTTTTTTTACTTCCCCCCCTTTTCCCTTTCTTGCATTTCATAGACTGCACAAGTTGGAAATACCCACACTTCACACACTACAACCTCGTTAAACACTCTATATCCTTTTGTAATGTCATGTAACTGTTGTCTTGTCTCCCATGTTCGGTACTGTTTTGTTAATGTGTTTGTTTCAATTAAAAAAAAAAAACAAGGCTTAATATTGAGGGCTGTGTAGACTGGTTACCTGATCCATATGAGTGAGTTGTAAAACTCTGGGTCAATGGACTCGAGATCTTTGAGGACAAGTTTCTTGTTCAGCATGCGTTTATAGAAAGGCAGCGAGAAGCCTGTATCGATGAACTTGCCATGGAAAAGTGCCTGCAAAAATAAAGGGCCATCTTATTTCACTGCACTGGTCAGTCTGAAAATATGAACACATGCAGGTTGTGGACAACCTAAGATTTTGTTTCAGTAACTGTTATTGATGTTTGGTTATTTTAACTAGCACGTTTGACATTAAAATATCAGCATGTTTCAGTTTTTATGTTTGCATTATCAGTTGCATATGTGTGGACAGCATGTGAACTTGCCATTGCAATGAAGCGACCAATGAAGCAGAAGTACGAGAGGTGGTCCGGGTTGATAGTTGATGCCGGGTTGATCTGCAGACAGTAATTGCTCTTGCCGGCGTACTCAAACAAACAGTACATGGGGTTGAGCACTTCGTGGGACAACAAAAAGAACCACTCTCTGAAAAGTGAGGTGCCGGACAAAAAGACAGAGGCAAGAAGTGAGGGCAAAGATGAAGGGAATGTGTTGGGAGGAGTGAATTAGAATAGAAATGGGGAAGGAAATTAAGGGAAGGGGGGGGTAACGAGTTACAAATCTGAACTCCAAAAAGTTCAGACTTTCATTTGCATAAGACACATTTCAGATGTTTAAGACAGTTTTTCTGTAAGCTGTCCTAAATCCAGAGGTAGGATTCATTTGTCTATTATACCGGGCTAAGCCTCCATAGTCGAGTCCCTCCTCGCCTCTGAAGATAACATAGAGTCTCCTTCTCAGGTCATAAGGCTTCAGGGCCATGATCTAAAAGACAGAGAAAACACACAATCTAGGCTGTGAGGAATCATCTCACTGTATATCCATCCCTGTATGTGCTGTATAACATCATTTTAAACTGTAAAGAGAGAGCCTCCTACCTGCTGATAAGAGTCATCAAACAGGTTCTGTCTGGAAACTGTGATCTTCACATGGCTAGGAAGAGCATTGGACTGTGGAATGACAGTGCAAATCATTAATGTAAAATTAAAAGCAGGATGTGTGACAGACCATGAAACAGAGTGATGGGGTACGAGGAAAAAAGTACCCACCTGGCACAAGTAGCGAAAATGAGCAAGTTTCCATCGAAAGCTGCGCTCATAAGCAATCTGAGGTCCTTTGGTTCTGAGAACAAACAACAAAACCAAACCAAACCCAAATGTCAAAATGTAGCAGGTACAGGCTGACATCCAATGAGAAGGAGGTTTATTTTTCTAACTTGAGAGCAGCTGCATCTTCATCATATAATGAAATAAATGTGGCACCTGTGAAATATGCTCAGCTATGTTACCATGAAGTTCACATTTTGAAAAATATCTAGGGTTTCTGAGGAAATGTACTGAATATCCTGAACAGCCCATGTGAATAATAACCTTCAAAATTACCAGTGCAAACTGTTTTCTCTAAGTCAACTTATTTTTCTGTGCCTTACTTGAGCTATATATGCACACTGGCTAAACTAAAGCACAAAATGTCTCCATCTCATCCTAGTAAACATGTTCTATTTAACTGTACACAATCCCCTATACCTGCAGCTCTTTGGGCTACTGACAAAACAGACTCTGGCATGGCTTTAGGTAACATGTAATACAATGGAGAACACAAAAGCAGTTCTTACACAGAGGACTTCCCAGTGCGGGGGTCACTGAAAGTGGTGGTTCGGGTGTTATGATCCACAAAGTATCGAACCCCTTCCCTTGTGTACCGGATTTCCCAACCTTCAGGCAGAGGATCCTCATTCTGTAGCCTGTGGGTGCACAAGCACACACACACACACACACACATTATATGTATGTACTGATACATGTGGAAGGTGTAAATTAAATCCAAGGACTAAATCCATAAATGGCACTGAAGCAATCCAACACAACACCAGGTGTTGATAAGTCTTATGTTTTAAATGTTATTTCAGTGTATGATGTGTTGCCCTAACTAAATCAAACCATAACAAAATTTTTTATAATGGACCAACTTTCATAGGTTGTACTACATAAACAAGAACAACAAGCCTTCCGATGTTTTTCTAATACAAATTCAACAACAGATAAATAATGCTGTTATGATGGAAGGGTGATGGTGGGATAACAGGGTTTCTGGTACTCATGGGAGATGGGCAAATCACCTAAAATTACTTTGATGATAAGTTGTTCAGTCCCTGTAGATTTTAATCTGCTGTATGTCATGCTACAAAATTACTACTAACATTTGAAGGCATTTTATGGCTACTGATTCAACATGTAACTAGTATAAAAACAGCTTCTCAGTGAGGTCCAAGACTCAGATGCTGACATGATTTTGATAGGATTGTCATGAAATATTTACTTTTTGCCAAATGATCAGTGAAAGGGATTGTGAAAGTAAAATGTTTATCTAACTGTGCGAAGTCTGAAAAGTCACTGACCTATTTATCTCGTTACCCTACATCATACACTTCACTGAAACCAGTTCAGAAATGTAGACGTTGCCTTTCCACTAACATACATTCATTGAATTCACTGTACCACAGCTGCTTCCTTCAGATTTTAATTCACTAAATATTTATTCAACAAATTAATTAAGGTCTTGCCTACAATTTAACAATCTGAATATCTCAAGGCTGCTGCTCAGTCTCATTACCTATGCTAAGGAAATGATGTTTTCACTGGCATTTGTTGCTTGGTTTGTTCACAGCATAATTCAAAAAGTTATGAATGATTTTAGAAGACATTTTTTGGAGACATAGGGTATGGCCCATGTAACAATCCATTAGATTTTGGTGCTGATCCAGATCATCATCCAAATCCACATTTTTAAAGGATTCTTCACCACTTTCTTTCTTTACCACTGTGAGATATGGCTAGTTTCAATATTTTTGCTTCCAACTCCATACCTAATGCCTACAATGCCTTGACAAAAATGGCACAGTAACTTTCAAATAAGATCTACCACAAACCAAAATCTGATCTTTAATATTCTGAATGTGGTGATTCACAACATTCAGATTTTTAGGGCTCATGGAAAACTTGCGACATACAAACAATGCAACAGATTTGCAGCTATGAACAAATTCTAGATGGAAACTTGGCTGATTCATAGGGTGTCAACAGATTTGACATTTCTTCAAAAGTTACTGAGCTAGATCCTGAAGAAAATCACCATTACTGAAATGCTGTTTTTCTTAAATAATGTTCAAACTAATAATGATATTAATATGATTCCAAATACTAGAGGTAGGTTTTCATGGTCAAGGAATCATTATGAGGGTCAAGCTGTCATAGGAATTTTGCTTTTAGATGGAATGGAAGACTACAGCAGTCCCTGGTAGGCTAGTGGTTAAGGCGCAGCGCTCTCGCCGCGGCACCCCGGGTTCAAATCCAGGTTGCGTCAAGAAGGGCATCCAGCGTAAAACACGTGCCAAATGTCAACATGCGAGTCTTCAGTGTGACGATTCGCTGTGGCGACCCCTAAACGGGAAAAGCCGAAAGTGACTTTCTTAGATGGAATGGCATTATGGGGGAAAGTGAGCTGCTTTGGCAGAGGTTTGCACTTTCTGAATGCTGTGTAGTGTTATGGATCAATGATTTCTCTTTTACCATCCTTAAAGAGGTTTGGAAAGTAGGCAGATTTCAGCAATCACATAGTCCACACAGAATATAACTGATGCATCTTTAGAGGAAGTCTAACTATTATGGTATCAGTGAGAACATCCCAAAAAGTGGTCTTTGCTGGTCTAAGCATTTTTGGCACATCTGTCTGAATGAGTGCAAACAAGGTCAGTAATATCAGAGGTAAAGGATAAATGCATGATGTCAGGGTGATGCAGGACATGGAAAAGGCCTGCTAACCTCTAGATGGCCTTTCACATTCAGATTTATCTTTAAAAGATGCTCAATTTATACATTCTCTCTCTCTGTTAAATTTCATTAGATTAACATAAGGTTAAATAGTTTCCATTTTGTCTATTGTGTTTTTTGTGGCACTGAGCTCACCCTTGAGTTCGGGGGTCTTCCCACTGTGTTGTCTTGGTGTTATGGTTGACAAAATACACTCGGTCATTGGAGTCAACACGCCTCTCTAAATTTGATAAAAACAGACAAACCTGTAGCTTACCAGACAGAATAGACACTGGGCCACACTACACCAGGCAACACAGGTCAGGTTTACTTCTGTATTTATAAACACATACTAACACAAAGTAAAAACGTGTACAGGTTTTTGAAGAAAATGTGAACTCACCCCAACCAGGTGGTAGCGGGCCAAGAGGATCGTTCTCAGCAGACATCATGGATGCCTAGAAAGGAGGAATACACACCACGTCAAAAACACCAGGAAGACACAAATTGGTCAAAATATTACAAATAAAAACAAACAGCTAAAACTGTGTGATGATATGTTGACCTCTGTGGCTGATGCCTGCTCAAGTACTTCCCAGTTGTCTGTGTTTAGATTTGTGCTTTAATCATCAGTGAAGATGACATCACTGCTCAGATCAAAGACTTGGGAGGGAAACCGTCACAGGAAAAACAGATTAGGTCACAGACTGGAAGTATATATTTTAAGTCCTGGCCAGGTAAAGTTGCCAGGACTTAAAATATGATCACCATTGGATCATGAGCTAGATGCCAAACTGCACATAAAGTGAGTTGGCTGGAAACAAACAAATGCACCCCGAGAATGAGATTCATTAGACAAAAACTATATACAATTCAGTCTGCAAGGACTTTCATTGAGGTTTGCTTGAGTTAGGCATCACAATAAGCATCAAGTCTGTCTTTACTGCTGTCATAGTAGCATTACTGTTTAATTATTCTTGGTGGCTTGGTGCAGGTTGACATAAAAATCTGTACTGCACAAAAATGAATTTAAATGAAGTTGAAAACCCAAAAATACAAACACAGTTACTATATCAAATATTTGTCATGGAGTAATTTCATTTCAACGTGATGGCAGAAGGGTGCTGGACTGCAACCTGACAAAAGACAAAGTGATCACTGATAACAGGTCAACAGAAACTAAATTAGATTAAAAGCTTTTAAAAAGCCATTTCAGAGTCACAGGTGTTTTCTCTGTTTTCTGTTGTTCTGGGTAAGTATGAAATTGTATGAATACACACTTAGAAAGGTGGGGAGCTGATAAAAGCTAAAACTATGTAGTCAGGTGACTCAATAATACTTAGACAAAAAACAAAACAAAACAAAACAAAAACAACAACACTTATGTTTGCAAACTGGCACCATTTATCTTTGAGAAGATGATACAGTATTGCATTAGTGCAAGTTAAAACTAAACCAAGAGATTACATATGAATAGTAAACATTCAAGGCATTTATTTAAAATTAGTGTAAAGCAAAGAGTGTGTAAATTTGGCAATGTGAACTTTGTGCAGAGACACTTGACTCTTCATTTGAGAAGAGATATGAAAAGGACCTAAGTATTCGCATTAACATAGGAGGACACACTGGCTTTCCCTTTGCCACATATACTGGGGTATATGAAGTATATATGTAATGAAGGATGTTTATGATACTTTAATTCCAGTATGTGTAACGTTGGTGTGGACTGTATTGATTGTGTGGTATTCTACAATAAAACATAAAACACCACAAAGTAAGAATTTTGATGAGCTGGATGATTAGGCAGGAAGAGGGAATCTGCAATACATGCATTTAACGTGTTTAAAATAAAAAAGGTGCTGGGGGATGAGAGAGTGGGAGCATCTTACCGAGTAGAGGTATCTCTGGTTAAACTGGTGCATAGCTCCCTGCAGCTGGCTGCGTTGGCTCTGCCACTGCTCAAAGTTGCGGACTGACTCCATTGTGGGACGCTGCCACGTGGTGGTGCGGGTGTTGTGGTCCACATAATAGATCCGGCCCCGGTCATCCACTCGCCGCTCCCAACTGGCACATCCAAATTGACAGAGAAGAACAAATGCAAACTTATTTGCTGACTGAGCTAACCAGGGGTATCAACGGTACACTTTACAGCTATAACATCAATCTTTTGTTACTCCTACCTAAAAGTGACTCATAGGTACGGGTGTAAATTAGGACTGCATGGTAAATCATTTTGTGAGCATGATTCAGATACAGTGGGTACGGAAAGTATTCAGACCCCCTTAAATTTTTCACTCTTTGTTATATTGCAGCCATATGCTAAAATCATTTAAGTTCATTTTTTTCCTCATTAATGTACACACAGCACCCCATATTGACAGAAAAACACAGAATTTGTGACATTTTTGCAGATTTATTAAAAAA